AGTTTCATATAAAAATGAAGACAAAATTAGCACAGGGCATGGCACACAGATGAACATTTGATAACAGGATTTCTTATGAGTTTGTTGGAGGCAAAACTCTGATAGGGTTATTTTGGGATTAGGCAAGGGGATCAGGTCTCTTGAGAGCATTTCCTTACAGGAAACTAGGGATGAGTGACAAGTATTTCCCTGGGATTGCAGCATTTGACTGGGGAGGGGTGTGAATGAGGTGTGCTACCACTGGCTGTGGCAAAACTGACATTAAAACCTCTCTATGCTTGAGTAATAAAAGCTAAAGCTTTAACTAAGGAGTTAGTCATAGTGGCAGTGAAATCTGCAGAGTAAACTCCTAGAACATAGAGCCCTGTAAGATCTGGAAACTTTGTAACTTTCTCATGTCTGCTGTGTTTCCTCTTGCATGTTTTCTTTCCCATTATGGCTACTCAGCACTTTCCAGTGTTCTGGCCTCACTGGGCAAAATACTTTATCTGCAGGGCTAAATGCCTTATATCATTTAGTGCTGTTATGAAGTTATGTTCCATGGGAGAAAATGGAGGCTCAGAGAAGTTAAATAATTTCTAGTGTGACCTAAGAACTGGGTCTCTCTCTCTCTCTTTAAAGATTTATTTATTTATTTATTTTTTTAAAGATCTATTTGTTTATTTATACAAGCACAGGGTACAGTGAGAAGCAGGGAGGGTGAGAGAATTCACCAGAGCCAGAGCGGGGAGCAGAACAGGCAGAAGGACCGAAGTACACTGCTGAGGGGAGCAGCGGGCGGGCAGCAGGAGAGGTCTGCACGCCATGTGGGACCCTCGCTGGTGGCAGGGGATTGAACCGGCGCTGCAGAGGCTGCGGACTGCTTCGCAGCCCAGCGCTCAACAGCTGCGCCACCAGGGGAGGCCCGATTTATTTATTTTTGTACACAAGAACTGGGTACAGGCCAGAGGTGCGGGAGGGTGAGAGGATTCACCAGAGACAGAATGGGAGCAAAACAGGCAGACTGACCAAAAACGCTGCTGAGGGGAGCATCAAGCGATACAGGAGAGGTCTGCGGCACCATGTGGGCATCTCCCTGGAGGGCTGGGAATCAAACCTGCGCTGCAGAGTCTGTGGACAGCTTCACAGCACTGTGCTCAACCTGCTGCGCCACCAGAGAAGCCCAAGAACTGGATTTCTTGATACAACATATCACTTTTAGGGTTGTCGAATTTGAGAGTTGATACTGTAAATGAGTGTTGAATTCATTCATTTAAAAAGCAATTGTAGGGTCTCCCTGGTGGCGCAGCGGTTGAGCGCTGGGTTGCGAAGCTGCCCGCGGCCTCTGCAGCGCCGGTTCGATCCCCGGCTGCTCCCCGGCCACTGGAGGAGGGTCCCACATGGCGCGCAGACCTCTCCTACCGCCCGCTGCTCCCCTCAGCAGTGTACTTCGGTCCTTCTGCCTGTTCTGCTCCCTGCTCTGGCTCTGGTGAATTCTCTCACCCTCCCGCGCTTCTGACTGTACTCAGTGCTTGTATAAATAAATAAATAAATCTTAAAAAAAAAATAAAATAAAAAGCAATTGTAGTATGTCCTGCACTGTATAGGTCTCTGGGGATTTAGAAATGCATACAAGACCACAACTACAACAAAACAGCTACATTTATTAAGTGTTAATTCTCTGCCTGAAACTTTGTATGTATTAGTTCATTTAACACGTGTAACTCTCTGGTGAGAAGAGTGTTCCTATCTTTATTTTACAGAGGAGGGAGTTGAGACTCTGGCACTTACCAAGATCATATAGTCAGCAAAGAGCAGAGTTCAGGACCATTAGCTTCCAAGTCTCCTCTTCTTTTTCAGAAATGAAAATCTAACTTTTTCATTTTTAAAATAAAAAATATTCTTTACAATATAAATATATATATATATACTCAAGAAATACACTGAAAGAATTTAAGCACTAGACTTGCTGGTTTTCTCACAAAACTTGCCAAAATAGGGTTAATAATCATTAACATTTTTGTCAGTAATTAACAGATGAAAATAATATTGCAAAGTTGCTCTTGTTTTCTCACTTTGCGCAGCTTTATTGACATACAGTTCATATATCATAACATTCATCTATTTATAGTTAAATGGTTTTTAGTATATTTTCAGTTGTGCAACCATTTTTACAATTTAATTTTAAAACTTTTCAACATTCCTCCCCCCAAAAAAAACCCCCATGCTCAGTAGCAGCCCTCATTTCCCCAGGTTCCTTCCCAGAGCCCCAAGTATCTATCTTTTGTCTGTTTATTGGTCATCAGTGATTTTATGTGTCTATTTTGAACTACTTATTTTTTTATTTATTTATTTTTTTTTTTTAATTTTCTAGAGGCATGTCTTATTTATTTATTTATTTATTGTTTGTTTGTTTGATACATGCACTGGGTACAGTCAGAAGCGTGGGAGGGTGAGAGAATTCACCAGAGCCAGAGCGGGGAGCAGAGCAGGCAGAAGGACCGAAGTACACTGCTGAGGGGAGCAGCGGGCGGCAGGAGAGGTCTGCGCGCCATGTGGGACCCTCCTCTGGTGGCCGGGGAGCAGCCGGGGATCGAACCGGCTGCAGAGGCTGCAGGCAGCTTCGCAACCCAGCGCTCAACCGCTGCGCCACCGGGGAGGCCCTACTTATTTTTTTAAAGCATAGAACAGATTTCTTTACTTACAATCAAGTTGGGCAACATATTTAAATAAATAAAAGATGTCCCCAGGCCTGTGAATTCCACCTTCCTTTAACCTTAAACCCCTAGTCAAGAAGGCAGCCCTGGAAGGGAGATGAGGCCAGGGGAGGAGAGGCAGCCTCTCATTGGGAAAAGTGCACTTCGTCCCCTTCTCCTGCGCTGGCACTCACACCCACAACCATATAGGAGGAAGTTAAGAAAGAAAAAAAAAAGTACAAATCAAAAAGTGATAAAAACATTGCTGTTTCAGTCACTCAAATAATTAAAAATTTAAACACAGGTATAACTACGTGTAGGGTAAATAATTTTCAGGCTTTTCTGCCCGCCAGCCATTAGGATTGCCTTGCCTGATGGGGCACCTGCATTTGTTCCATTGTTGTAAGCTCTGTTGTTTACTTCTGTGGGCCTTGGCTCAGTATTGAGATACTGGCCAGGAGAAGCAAAGGCAGAAGAGAGGCAGGAGGAAGAACGCCAGAGAAGCCCAGAGTAGCCCAGAGTGAAGACTTGCCCCGGGCTGGGAGGTCTGTTGGCCTCCTGCCCACACCTCCATCCTTGTCTGCCCTGTACCTGGTTGCTGCACTCACTACATGTAAAAGTTCAATAAAAGCCTGAGAAAGCCACCGAGGGCTCCAGGACTCTCCTTTACCTAGTCTGCTCAAATCATAGAGAACCAGCCCTGTGCCCATCCTGCCCCTACACTATGTTTATAAAATCACTAATAAACACAGGTAAAGCTAAATGTTAAAAAAAAAAAAAACACAACAAAAAAACACAGGCCAGTTTCCCCTGCCTTGACCACAAGCCCTGAAATCTAAATGTGATAGACATCCTCAGCTTCCTGGAACAAGTGGGTGTCTGGAACTGAAGCACGGAGGGCCACTGAGCGCAGGCTGGGCGGGGACATGACCGCAGTTCCCACTCCAGGGCAGTCAGGCCTCGAACCCCTTGTCACTGCAGCAGAGATTTAGACACAAGTCTGGAAAGTAGGTGTCCTGACCCCACCCTGGGACTTGGGGTCGGGGTGGAGGGCCAGGGAGGGAACAGCCTTTCCACTCCTGCAGCTCTCCCAAGCTTTTGCGCTCCTTCCTCAAAAAAATGTTTTTATACCAAATTGAGACTCTATTTTTCTTTTTGTGGGACCCTCGCCGGCGGCCGGGGAACGAACCGGCGCTGCAGCCTCGCAGCCCAGCGCTCAACTACTGTGCCACCAGGGAAGGCCCCCAAATTGAGATTTTAAAAGAAACAGATGTATAGACCTGTTGGCGAAAGGGAGCAGGAATGCTGAAGAATGGCTATTGTCCCAAGCACCGTGAGGAGAGCTAAGGAGTCCCCGCATGGAATTTTTAAATTGAATCGTGAAATTCAGTATTTATCATGACGCTTAAGCATGTGTCTACCATGCATATCGCAATATTTTTAGCAATTCTTTCATTTGTTCTACTTTATGAACGGCATATATTTTTAATCTTTAAAAAACGACAGACGGATACATACTTATAAACTCCCCTAGGGCCCATCTTCATTTGGTCTTTTATAGTATTGTGATTTGCCTAATTTTTCTACCTCTCTTGGGCTTAATTTTTGATAGAATATATCTTATCAAACGCTACTGCTTTGAAAACTTACTCTATTCAGACAGCCACATTTCTATTCATTTTCAAAACTGGACAGAATGACAACATCTACTTATTGATTCCAAGCAGAGTGGACTTCATGCTTTTGGTTTAAAGTTCTGCCATCACCGCCTTGAAATTCAAAGCCACTGGGATCAAGGGGTCCCGCGCTTACACCTCGCAAATCTGTAGGGGTCCTGCTTACAAGTCCCAGGCTCGGTGTACAGAACACTTCATCCTGATCCTCACGGCGAATCTGCCTAGTGATTCTTCTCCTTTCCCCTCCATTTTACGAATGGCCCAGTGGGGGCAGGAACATGAAACAAGGCCACAGGGCCAGGAAGCTTCAGCAGCGGGCTTTGAACTCAGCACCTGTTACGCCAGAGGCCCCCGAGTAAGCGTCCACTTCTACTGTAGGCTCTTCCAATCTGGGGGTGAAACCGGGAGGGGGTGCAGGGAGGCGCCCCGAGTATGGTCCTCACGCACGTCGCCGGCGTCAGCGCCCCAGCCGGGCGCGCCCAGCCGGGGTGCCGCGCGCCTCTCGGGCGCCCCACTGCCGGCTCGCGGGCCTCCGCTTTCTGTCGGCGGCGGCGCGCGCTCGCCTAGCGGGCGCGCACTCGCGCGCGCAGCGGTTGTGTCGCTTGTGAGTTTCCCAAGTTCACACAGGCCCTGGGTTGGCATGGCAACCAGGCAACCTGTTCCAGAGCCGCCTGCTTTCTCGGCACATGCTGCTGCCACCGCCGAGGCCGGGGCCAGAGCCTATCCCATGATGCACCGCGCCAGCCTAGTCCCCAGTGGGCCGCCATGTTGTCGGAGTGAAAGGTAAGGGGGAGCGAGAGCGCCGGAGAGAGAAGATCGGGGCGCTAAAATCCATCTTCATCCTACCGCTCCGCCCGTGAGTATCCGCACCCCGCTGCCCCCAAACGCTGCTCCGGACCCCTAGCGAGCAGATTGTCCCTTTGTATTGGTGTTTGAGAGCGGTTGGGGGGGTGAGAAGGGCTTTGGAAAAGCCGCCGGGGCCCTAGCTGAGGCTTCTCACTCGCTGTTCTCGTACATGTTTTGGAGTCAGCAGCAAGGCCCCTATTGTTATCAAAGGAGGGAGGGGGTGGGGAGCGGGGTCGAAACGAGGAAAATGCCGGGGGTTTAGGCCCAGGCTCAGGGCATAGACATGCCTCTACATTTCTGCTCGGCCCTGTTGGAGCCCCCGAAGATTGATGTTGCCATTCGGGTTGCTTTTTTTCATGGATTTGCGAAGCCCCGAGTCTTCTGTGGCCATGAAGTGTAATTTTGAGCCTTTCTGGATTTCTTCGACTTCTTGGGCTTCCGTGGCAGCGCCGAAGGAGGAGGAACAATAAATCGCTTTAGAAGCAGCGGTGGCCCTTGTCTGCAGGCGAACCCACTGTGGGGGAACTTTGGGAACCTTAAATGTGGAGAAGTGGCGATCAGGAAGTTTCAGATCGCTTTTAGGCTCCTGGGTGTTTGTGGCCTTTTGTTTCCGAGTGAGCTTGTGTTTTGGGGTTCTTGCTCTTTGAGCCTCTTTCTATAGGTGCGTGTCTGTCTGAACTGAAAGAGGGGTTCACTCCTTGGTAGTAGGAAACCACATACACAATACTAGGTAGTTTTAGTATCACAAACGTTCCTGGTAAACATCATTTGTTAGACTTGTCGGCACCACTCCCACGTCAAGTGGGGAACACGCTCCTCTGACTCCCCCTCTCAGTACTTTCCCCCTCCCGCGAAGGAATCCCTCCCCCCCCCCCCGCCTTTCCCGTCGGTACCAGGGAAGGTTTTTTAATCATCCCCATAACTTGAGGTTTTGGTACTCTTCATTGTCTAGTAAAGAAAACTGTTCTTAGCTGTCGATCTCAATTCGTTCACTTCCTACTCTCCCTGGGATTAGTAGTTTATAAGGCTTTATTGTTATTATTTTGTTATGTCTTATTAAAGTCAGTTACTTCTGAAACAATGGGTTTGTAGCTTTAGCTTTTTTGTTTTATTTTATGAGAACTGGAACAAGACAAGCTTCCTAGGTATGTGGCTCCCGACGCAGTTTTAGTCAGCATGTAATTATTATGACCCACTGCTCATTTTTTAACTTTATAAAGACACGACTGGGGGCTGTTGATTCTTTGTCTGGATTTTTGGGAAATACTCGGTTTTGAAGTTTGAGTTAATATTTTGCCTTAGCCACAATTGAATTAATTTTGTCCAAGGCCACAGCTTTTTGAAGTTGGGTTTGAAGTTTAGTTTGGGTTTGAGATAAGCGGCTTTAAAATTTATGACCACGTAATTTTTTTTCCAGTGTGGTAAAAATAAACACCTTTTAAAATAAGCAGTTTGGTAAAAAGTGAGCCATGGAGATGGATTAAACCATCTTTCTTTGTTTGAAATGAAATCTATTAGTGATTAAAAAAAAAAAAAACCCTTGATGTAAGCAGTTTGAGAACTGGAAGAGTAACCAGAATCTACTTATTTCTAATATAAGACACTTATTTTTATAATGTGTCATTTGTAAAAGTCACATTTCAAATGCTGCACATAAATTTTAGTGAGCATTACAAGTTCTTTAAAAGGCATCAGCAATTCAGATGTTTTCTAATATTTGGGTGACTTATTTCTTAATTTTTGTGCTGTAGTTGCCAAGATATTACAAAACTACCCTAGACACATGTTAATTGCTCAGGTATTTGCTCACTTTCAAACTGTTTCTTTCTGCCAGGTTTTCTCTTGTTGGAGAAACTGCCTTGCCTCATTAGGTAGAAAAGCAGGAAGTCTCAGGGCGTACAGATAGCTTTACAAAAAGCCAATTGTTTTGGTTGAATATTTTTCTGGGAATCTCCCTGCCCCTCCCCCATTCCTTGTTGGAAGTTGTGTTTCAATGGTAAACACCTTTTTCATATGGAGATTTTTTCTTAGGTAAGTGTTTTGGCAAATGCTTTATTTCAGCAAATTTCAAGATTGCATTTGCTACTTTAAAACACCCCTTAGGGACTAACTGGTGGTAACTGAATTTTTTGGGTCTTAACATGGTGACATTAAATTTACCCAAAAGTTTTACATCTATTGTTTATTTTAATTAAAAAAAATTTGTTAAGAATAAAGGATTTCTTCCATTTTCTAGATGAGGAAACACTCAGAGGTTGCTAATTCAGTGGTAAAACTTGGAATTTGGAATTTCTTGCTTGCTCTAGAATGATGACTTATATTTACAATCCCTTGTAGAAGAAAGTGGGATTATTCAGTATTGGTGATAAGAGGGCAATGAGTTGAAAAGCACATGAGGATGGCATTAAGTTGCTTAGCACTTTGCTAAGGCTCATGGTAAACATAGCTAAGACTTTTTGATTTTGGTACATAAATATGAACATTAGAAAGCAGAAACTGAAGTCCTTAAGAAAGTTAGACTATCCCATTACACTGGTAAGGTTCTGATGCATTGGGATTGTTAACAGAATAGCATTTCCAAATTAGGCTTTGAACAAATTCCATTTATCTTCATACTTCTGACAAAAATGTGAATTGTGAGAAGCAGATGCTTCTTTACCAGGAGATGTAATTCTATGAAGAGAAATAGTCTAAGTTTTCTTAAATCTTGTGAGTTTGTTTTTGAAATGACACAGTAGGGCTAGGGACAAAAAAATAGGCATGAAATTAGACTTTAATGGCTGTGGACAGGTGTGTTCTAATCGGTAAGTGCTTAGTTACTTTGTAGCAATTTTTAACTTTCTCCCAGACTGGCAAGTGTTCTAGTTGTTGCACAGAGGTGGTTTTTTATTTAAGCACCTCATGTAGTGATGTTTCATGGTAACACTTTGGAGATTCTTTGTTGATCCTTCCAGAGGAGAGTAGCAGATACAAGTGAGAAAAGTGTTTCCTGTATTGATTTACTGGGGAGAGTAGCAAGGGGTTGATAGAACTAGGTTTGGGTGCAAACAGATTTGCATTGAAATCTGCTCCTTTGTTACTGGGCCAAATGGCCTTGGGCATATGTAACCTTTCTGTACCTTAGCATTTCATCTGTGAAATAGGGGTAATAATCCTGCCTTTTAGTGCTTCTGTGATGATTAGATAATGTCTGAAGTATATTTGCCCACACAATCATTGTGTTGAGGCATTTTTTAAAAAGACTTATTTATGCATACAAAGAGCTGGGGGGTGTAAACCTGGGGGGGGGCACAGCAGGATTCACCAGAGACAGATTGGGGAGCAGAACAGGCAGATTGACTGAAATACACTACTGAGGGGAGCAGCGGGAGAGATGTGCTGTACCTTGTGGGTCAGCTCCCTGACCAGGATCGAACTCATGCTGCAGGGACTGGTGATAGCTTGATAGTGCTAAGGTCTAACCCCTGCGCCACCAGGGAGTCCCAGCAACCTTTTTTTTTTTTTTTTTTAAAAACAGTGAGACTTTCCCCACCAGTAAAGTGTTTGAATTTGGTTTCTTGTCCTGTTGATAGGGGTTGAAGTACTAACATAGCAATGGTGATATTGCAATTATTATTGTAAATTATTAATAAAAATTAAAAATTTTTCTTTTATCAGTAGCAAGTGAGACGGTTCAGGCTAAGAACATTTCTGTTGCTGTTTTTGTTCAGGGGCTTTATTGATTCTTCAAGGAGCACACTATGAATATGTTGTACATTTTAAAGAGTCCTTTCATGTTTTAGACAATCTAGAAGTTTTTGCTAATTGTGTATGGGGCTTGAATTTTTGTCTAATTTGCTCCAGCGATAAAGTGATATTTTATAAAGCTCTTCTTCAGAAGGGTCTGCCACAGTTCATGTTAAGGTGTAAATAAATTGGTTAGAGAAACTATTGATTGAAGCCTAATTCTATTGATACATTGTTACCACATGAGTTTCCCTGAAGTTGCCTTAAGAATGAAGTTTCAGATTAGAAAATTGTGTATATGTTATAAAACATTCAGCTATTTCATAGAAAGTGGTTGTAGTAAATGATGTATTGCAAAAGACACAGGGCTTTTTATCTTGGTGTATATCAAGTTATGTTTAAAATAACAAATTTTAAATAGTTGTAACCTGTTTGTCCTTAGGTGTTGGTGGAATGAGCGTTGCATGTGTCTTGAAGAGAAAAGCAGTGCTTTGGCAGGACTCTTTCAGCCCCCACCTGAAACATCACCCTCAAGAACCAGCTAATCCCAACATGCCTGTTGTTTTGACATCTGGAACAGGGTCGCAAGCGCAGCCACAACCAGCTGCAAATCAGGCTCTTGCAGCTGGGACACACTCCAGCCCTGTCCCAGGATCCATAGGAGTTGCAGGCCGTTCCCAGGACGACGCAATGGTGGACTACTTCTTTCAGAGGCAGCATGGTGAGCAGCTTGGGGGAGGAGGAAGTGGTGGAGGCGGCTATAATAATAGCAAACATCGATGGCCTACTGGGGATAACATTCATGCAGAACATCAGGTAAAAAAAGTTCACTATTTCAGCTTTGAAACTCTTTATAATCGCTGTCCACTTAGGATTTCTGCTCTCAGTGAATGTTTTTAAAAACCTAATTTTTAATTTCAGTTGGTCTTAAGTCAGTCATTTGTTTTAAAAGGATGATTGTTGCAATATTGTCTGTCACTGAGTCTTTTATCATTCTGGCACTAAGTAGTAAATGACCATTTAAAAAAATTAAGATTGTTTTAATGTGCTGATTGCATTTCTGGGTATACTTTTTTTTTAAACAATGCATAATTTCCCCCTTTTGACATAATCTTTAAAGAACTATTTGGGCTGTTTATAGGCCAATAATATTTTAGAGTCTTTGGGTGTGGTAACTTGTTTTTAAGATGATATACTTGAATGTAGTAGGAAGTTGATAACAAATCAGTTCAAATGATATTTATTTGAAATGGAACGAATATATCTAATATTTTGTGGCAAAGGAGTGGTTGTGGCTACCTTTGTTCTCCTGTTCTAAGCATGTTTAATTTGGCTAATTTTAATATACCTATCACAACAAAATCCTTGCTGGGATGATAGTGTGTATATTTTACTGAGAAGAGAGTTTACCCATATCTCTGCTTCCTAACTTCCTAATGGTGATGAAAGGATTAGAAAGGTTTAATCAGGTTCTTTGAAATTGAGTATACACTGAATTTGTAAAGTCTCATTTTACATTGCCACTCTCTAGACTGCTGATTAGAAAAAACGGTACATCTTTCACTAGACTTCAGTGCTTCTGGTTTGGACACAAGGTAATTAAGGTCGGCAGTGTGCATGTTGAGTTTGAGATATTAGTAGCTGTATATGTAGAGAGACACCAAGGTAGATGTTTGATTTGTTTAGTATCTGTAGAGGGCAAACGGGGGAAGACTTATTTGGCCAGTAAACTTTAAGAATCGGAAACATCTTTTTTATAATGTATATTATAGATCTAGAAAATCTTGTGTTGGCTTCCCTAATGATGGGCTGATGGGTGAAAACTGAAGGTGAATCAGAGTGCTCTTGCTCAGTGGGCAAATCAAACTCTGGGTCACTTCCTGACAGAACTCTAGTAACTAATATTTGGTTGTGCTGTGCAAGTCATCGTGTTTATTGAAGCCTTACTCTGGACTCTTCTTATGCTGAGCCCTATCATGAGGAATCACATCAGACTTACTGAACAGTTTTATCCAGGTCAGTTAGCAAACAAGAGTTAACATTAAATGGCAAAACTTATTCCATACCCAGGGCACCAAACCAGTGGCCCAACTCTAATTGGCATGCATCACAATACAATTTTGTTTGGCCAGACACATAATCTGATGAACAGCATTTGGGAACTTGGGGCAGTTGCTGTGTTGCAGATCTGGGCTACCCACAAATTACTTCTTTCAGCATTATAGTGTAATTTACTGTTTGGTGTTGATCTCGCCTGGTGGACTGCACTTAGGGCAGAGACTGTTGTGTTTTTCATGCCTCTTTCCCAGACGGTGTCTGAATATTTTTGAGTTGATTGAATGCGGGAAGATCATTAGTGCACTCAGATAAAGCAGCGCATCTTTGTTTAACATGGAGGCATATGGCCACAGGGAGAGGCCACTTGAACAGGAAGTGGTAGTCTGTAGTTTATTGATGACTGGAGCTGCTTATCTTTAGGTGGAGAGTCTGTTCTCTACTACTGTTACTGTGGAAGTAAGAGAGAGGGTCACTGATCTGTCAGGTGGGAGGAGGACAGAAGAAGTTGAGAATCACTGCTGTCAGTAGAAATACTTACTACCAAGCCACTGATGTTCTAAGCACGGGGCTATATATTTTCTGTATTTTATCCTCAGAACAATCCCGTAAGGGAGGTAATACACTCTTCGAGATGTGAGAAGTGGAAGCTTCATTATCAGGGAGAACCTGGTTTTGAAACAGGTGTTGGTGATTCTGTTGTCCATTCTCTGTATCTGCTTTTGCCTCCCTGGGAATAACCTTAGCCCTAAAAACAAAACCAAAGAAATGACACCATTGTAACAAGTGGCACACTCCAAGGTCAAAATTATTTTGCCATATTTTGCTTGAATTTTAGAGATGATAAACTTGATTTTAAGGAGATGAATACAAATGTTGACTTTTTCCTACTATAATTGCAAGTTATTTTATTTTCCACAAGAGTAGTGATGCTGAAGTCCTTTTTTTTCACTTTTGTTTTTATTCCATGTGTATTTTAAGTGGTAATTGTGGGAAACTTTGTTGAGACAGAATGACTCAATATAAAGTGATTCTACTGCGATTACCTTCTGCCATTCTATTGGGCTATAATTCCTGTTTGGAGGGCCTATGCTTTTGCCCTGGTGTCCCTTTCCACCCCCACCCCCTACCCCCCAGGCCTTTTAGCATAATGGAACTAAATTTAAGATCAACTTGGCAGAGAGCTTTCACTAGTGAGCTGGTGAAGTAAAGAAATCACAAGATGTGATGCCAGCCAAAAGCGTTGAAGGGAAGAGAGCTATTGTGCCAGGTCCTTTACACCCTTTTCTCTAATTATTACTCCAGTTTATGAGCAATCATTCTTTTAAACATGAAAACTTATTATTTTTTTAACCCTTTATAGTTTGGAATTTCGTGCCTGCTATGGTAAATTCTCTAGAGTCTGAGTTTCCCACCCTTTTGATGGTGAGCTCTTTAAGCTGTGCTTAAATATATATGTATGGCTGATATTTTCAGTATTCAAGTTTTCTAAGTATGAAATTTGAACATAATTAGCATGAGACCTTTAAAGTAAAAGGCTAAAGCATTAAGAACTTGAGAATGTGTTAAGGTAATTACTATATTACTTAAGAAATATGCAAGCTGAGGTGTTTAAAATTAGGTGAAATTTAGAAACCATAAAATAAATTTTCAGGTAAGGAGAGGTTCAGATTTGTAAGTTTATTTTAAAAAAGTTGTAACATGCAAACTTTATTGCCTTTCTGTATTTGTTTTTTCTATTTTAATTTACACATTAAGTATCACTTATTTTAATACATAAAATTATTGCATTTGGTGTAGACACTTTGAAGCCGCCATTGGCTAAATTGAGGCCTTTGGAGGGGAATGAGGGAAAGAAGTCCCATGGAAATTTTCCTTTACCAGTAAAATTTACTCATAGGAAACAAGGTGAACATGGATCAAGATACTAGAATACACATCTTCCTACCTGCAAAAAGTTGCATATTTAAGAGTAATTAAAAATTTTTTTCAATAGCATTCATGTTTTCATTATGCATAGTGCAAGGTTCCAAGGTCAAGTCTTTGACTTGTTGTGATTTATTTTCTTATTGTGAAATGTTTTCTCTGTAAACTGTTGTGAGATAGAGTGGGTGATGAAATAGGGAAATAGGGAAAATAAATTAAGTTTGATCAGTTGAACTGTGGCCTCTGTACTGGGTTTTCAGGGACAGGTTGGTAGAAGCTCTGCTATGCGAGAAAGGAAATTCAGGAAGAATTCTACAGAGCTTTCTTACTTTTTACTAGTAGTCTTTTGCACTACAATGTATCAGTATCCACTATAGATTGGCAGCTAGTGGGAGGTAATTCTAGATACCAGGCAGAATTGAGAGGATGAATTTCCTCTTTGATTGTTTTTGACCCCCTTTATTTTCACTTGGTGTTCTCATCTTCAAGTGTATCCTGCACCCACCCCTGACATGTTTATTCTTACTCTTTCGTCAGTGTTAGTCTTTATAGCTTATGATTAATAAATAGTACATTAAACTGGGTGGGAGCCCAAGTATACTCCACACGAAGAGTCTCATCATTTTCTGGAGATTCTTTCCTGTTTCCTTGCTGAATGAGTCTGTTAGATCATGAATCTTACCTTCCTGGGTAGATTGCTTAGATAACACAGCATTTGGGCCATTGGCATTTTGTTAGCATGTGCTTTCATTTTTTTCCCTCTTGCACCTTTATCTTAGAGCATTTTTCATTTCATTTGGAATTCACAAAAGCTTAGTGTTACATAGTTGCTCAAAAGGATCATTAACAGTTCTTTGACTGTATCTTTAACAATTTCCAGTTTTAAGAATCACGTTACTATTAAGAGTTATGTTCTAGTGTAAATAAAAGGTATTCAGGAGGGTCCCACATGGCGCACAGACCTCTCCTGCAGCCCGCTGCTCCCCTCAGCAGTGTGCTTCGGTCCTTCTGCCTGCTCTGCTCCCCGCTCTGGCTCTGGTGATTTCTCTCGCTTCTGACTGTACCCAGTGCATGTATAAACAAAACAAACAAACAAATAAATATAAATTAAAAAAAAAAGCATGCCTCTATAAAAAAAAAAATTAAAAAAAAATTAAAAAAAAATTAAAAAAAAAAAAAAGGTATTCAGTGAGCGGCCCTGCATCTAACTGTATCAAGTTGTAATGCATTTGGTAATTAGACACAAAAGTATCTTAATTGTATCAAGTAGTTCATGATTGTATGTGCCTTCTGGGTAGTAACTTGCAGAGGTTTATAATATGTCTCCTTTGTTAAGAAAAGTTTTTGCTGGGGACGGCCTCTTTGGTACCTGAGGGGTTAAGCCTCAGCGCTATGAAGCTGTTTGCAGCAGCTCCAGCCAGAGAGCTAACCCACATGGTGCAGTAAACCTCTCCTCTCAGTCAGTGCTGCTCCCCTCAGCAGTGTATTTCAGTCAGTGCGCCTTTTCTGCTCCCCGCTCTGTCTCTGGTGAATCCACCTCTGGCCTACACCCCAGGTAGGACATAAGTAAACAAAATAAACCTTTTTTTAAAAGTTTTTGCTGTGGAGTTAGGAAACAATTATAGGATAGATGGTAATATAATGAGTACTTCAGGAAAATGAAGTGGGGTAAATTTAGTAATACATACCAGACTGGTTGGTTATAGAATTTGCAAAAACAAAACTCTATTCTTTGTTTACGATCTGTCTATTCACACTCGGGAAATGGCTTAATACTCATAAGCAGAATGAACATAGGACTGACAACACTACGCCAAGAGATTAGTTGAAGATAG